GATGGATGGATGGATGGATGGATGGATGGATGGATGGATGGATGGATGGAAGGAAGGATGGATGGAAGGATGGATGGATGGAAGGAAGGATGGATGGATGGATGATACATAGACAAAATAGATGATAGACAATTGATAGGTGATAGGCAGATAGAGAGATGAAAGATGGGTAGATGATAGATACATAGATAAAATAGATGATAGATAGACAGGCGAACAATACCTGGCAATGCTTCCAGATGGTAACTTCAGTAGATGGGGTTCCCATCCTAGTCAGGTGTGTGATTCAGGCCTGGACTCCCAGAACTTGGAATCTGTGAGTTTGAAGCCAGTCTAGGTTACAACGAAAGACTGTGTCCAGAAAACAAAACAAGACAACAAGAAAAACCACAGCAGCCTGTGTCCTTTCCACTTGCTCAAAAATCCTCTTTCCAGCTTCCTAGGCTGTTTGGTCCCCAAGTCTCTTAATCAAAAATCTCTGTGGCTGGATGAGGGCCACAGTGGCATGGAGGCAGAACAGGGCTGGGGTGCTCACCAGATCATGCGCAGACTTCCAAACTAGGAGCAAACATTTCTGTAGGTCTCCAAAGTGAGGCAGGAACAGAATGTAATAGACTTTGAAGAGTAGTTCCTCAGAATTTCATTGGATTGCTGCTCTGTGTAAAAGATGGTTGCCATGGTCCCCCATCTGCCTCCACCAATAGCAGATTCTTTCCAGCTTCTCACATCACCTAGTTCAACTCATTTCATGCCAAGACCTCAGACTGTCCTCCTTACTGAAACTCTGTCCTAATCATGTCAAGAGCAGGAAACTCTGAACCAACATATCTGGTTCCAATTGTGGTACCCTGGCTGAGTTCTTTGCGTCGACTTCCTTAGATTTTTTTAAAAACAGGCCTTAGGATGCAGGGCCTTCTAGGGTCCCCTGCTCTTGTCTTATTTGTTACTGAGTGGAGAACATGTGTCTTCACTCCCTTCTGTGAAAAGAAGTCAGTAACCCTTAGGTGTGGTGTTTCTTTTTTAGAACAGAGTATCTGCAGGAGGTGAGGCAATTGAGACCATCCAGGTTTCCCCTTCTGAACTAAGGTATTTTCCTACAACCAGGCCTCACACTGCAATAGGAAGTATCAGGACCCTCCACCTAGATAGAGAAACTCAGCACACCCCACCCAGCCCCAGCATCCACCCCTGAATAGCACTTTCCGTGTGACAGTGCAGTTTATTTTAGTATGCTTCAGTGATCTGTCCCCCTGATGCTGAGACCTTGAGGTTAGTATCTGATTCTCCAGCACTTTCCACAGCCTGTTGCACACACCATGAGCAAAACAAATGTTTGAATCCTCAGTACCCACTCTCTGTTGAATCTTAGGGTCAGGAGGAAAATGAAGCATTGCGTCTGAAGTTTCTCCCCAGAGACTGTGCCTTGGGTGTGTCTGAATGCAGCTGCAGCATCCGGGCCCTACACACCACCTGCCAGTTTCCATGTTCCTGCTGGACCTGCACCTACCACATCCAAAGCCTTGGGGGTCACTCCCCAGAAAGAGTCAGGGTCAACCATGAATGAAAATGCAAAATAAGCTTTTCACGAATCCCATTTTTATCACCGATACCAAGAAGCATCCAGCCAATCAAATCATTTCAAACATGAGAATTTGTTTACTTACGGTTTGCTTGGACTGAAACCATTAGCAAGTAGCTTTTATTTTACATAATGAAATGATGGAGAAACACAAAAAGCATTTTTGAATGATATGGTATACAACACTGCTGAGAACCTGGAAGTTTTAGGAAATAAAGAGACTAGCTTGTGGAGGAAACCATCACAGAAGTAGGCTCACAGGATTTACTTACAGCAAAGCCCCTCAAGGCCTCTGTTTGAACCTATTTACTCTCCTCTTAGACACAGCTCAGATGACTGTGGTTTTTTCTCAGCCCACAATAAAGCAGAGGTAGCAAGTCAGGTATATTTTGGAGGAGACTGTCTGACCACTGAGAAGTGACAGTTGACAGACTGGCTGAGAGGAGGCTGGAGCCCCTGTAAAAAGCAGGTGTGGCCAGGTGTGTGGAGAACGACTTTAATCCCAACACTCTGGAAGCAGAGGCAGATGGATCCCTGTGTTTGACCCTAGTCTGGTCTCCATAGTGAGTTCTAGGCCAGCAAGGGCTATATAAGGAGACCCTGTCTCAGAGTAAACAAACAGATTAAAGGGCTCTATGCAAATTTGCCCAAGTGCAAACATTTCCATATGAAACACAGAGTGCAAAAATAATGCGTAGAATCCCTGGATTATTAGGAAACATTTAACATACACGATGTTATTTTTTTTTTGTAAGACATGTAAACCATTCCAGAGAATGTGCATAATACATTTTAGTATGCACATTTTAAAAAGAGAAAAAAAATAGTATTAATCTAGAAGCTTCCATTCACTGAACTACCGTTTACGGGGCTATCACTAAATTTGGAATTTTTTTTAAAAGCTTGGTTTTATATTTGTTCAGAGTTTGCACTGAAGCACGAGAAATGCATTTTTAGGACATACAACTCCTAACACGGTGCACACACGCTGAACATTTTTAGTGTAAATCCCATCTTTACCACAGAAATTGTACTAATCTCCTGCCAATCCCCTCTTCAAATTCTGTGAAAACCCACTTGATGTCAGCACACACTGCAAATCCACCTTGAACTTGCTTAAAATAACACAGTTGTTGGGGTCCTCATATATTGATCCGAAGGTTCAGTAGACTAAGAAAGGAATTTAATAAAAGCTATCATGTTGCCATCTGGAATAAAAATACTTCTATCACAACAGGGCAGACAGTCTGAATTTACTCCTAAGAGGTCTGTTCATCTCTCTGAAATCAAAAGGCTTCTTGGTCTGTCTGCCCAGCCCTGTCTTCCCAGGGTCTCTCCCATGAGGCAATCACCTCCTCCTGTGGAGAGACAAACATTAACCCGTGACACAGACAGGACCAGAGTAAGGTCCTAGTCAACAGGCATGCCTGTGGTGGGCAATCACCACAGCTGTGGCCTGTGCAGTCACTAACAGAACTCAGTGAAAAGTAGTGTCACAATGATAGAACTACAATGCCAGTCATATTTACAAAGCCACAGTTTCTAATACCGTGAAAATGTGACGTTTAGCTGTTTAATGAGGGGCATTTATAAATTCAATATGAAGTTTGGCAAGAAATATATGTATGCAAAATTAATTGGAATAACAGTAATAAAAGCACTGTTGACTGAAGATTCAGATTTGCCTTAAATTAGAAAATCACATCATCTCCAAAGTTGTGGCTTAAGCTGACATTTCAATGCTGGCAACATAGATTCCTCCTTAGTGAATCCTAATGACTCAATCTTAATACATTAAAACCAATCAATGACTCAAATAACATTTTTCAAAGGCTGAGAGTGCAGGTCAGTGGTAGAACACTTGCCCAGCCCTGTATTTCATCTCTAATAACATAAAAAATAACATTTTTACATGTAATATGGTCAATACTATTTTTTTCTCTGTCCAAATTTATATTAATATCGTGTTACTATTTAGGAATTCAGACTAAATAACTGACCTACAAATTGGGCCAAAGTTAAAAAAAAGGTTTTCATTACATATTACAAAATGATTCACTGAGTCTTGTTTTTTGGTTATGAAACTAATAGTTCTAAGATATCAATACAATGCAGCTAAAAATGTTTAAAATGTAGCTTTCTGTTACTCTGTTTTAGAGGAGACCATCTTTCTGAAGACTGACACATTAGCGAGACGCACAGATCTCTTTTCTAGAGTTGACTTTTGTTTCCTTTGTCCCTGTGACTGGCGTTTCAGGTTTCATGAGCTCTGTGCAGTCAAAATGAGAGTAGTGGCCCAAGATGCTGCAGGCGGAGTAGTTCAGGACCTGAGGGAGACACCAGGCCTGGTTGGGGGGCTGGCTCTCAGCACCCGTGTGACCTAGGGAGACACTTAGCATCTCTGGGCCAGATTTTCCTTCTTTTATAAAATCCAGGGGACTACCATGGCAAATCTGAGGTCTCAATCATCCATGTGCTGTTCACTCCTGATCCAGTCAGCAGAGGGAGCACTTTTTCTACATCTTACAAGTTGACTATCATTTAAACACTCCCCCCAAATTCAAAGGGTTCAAGAACACTACTGGAAACTAAATGAACAGCCAAGCCCTTCAGTCATGTACATCACGGTTTGATCATAAACTTGAGAACAAGTCAAGAAGTTGTTTCCTGAACTCCATGACAGAGTCCTACAGCAGTTATAAAATGCATGCATGCACGCATGAGCACTCCTTCCCGAGTGATAGTGTGTTTAAACAGGATCCAAGTGCACAGATACGCCAGACCACAGGGAACGGGCTATCTGACCAAAGACAAAAAGCTCCCAATCATAGAAACATTAGCAAAGTGGGGTTAAGGTAAACAAACCACAAGTTTTCGACTAGACTGCCTTTGCTCTTCCACTAAAATATCCTGGGGACGAGCAGGGACACAGCCAGAACCAGGAGTCTCTACAGAGAAACCAGGCCAATGACAAAAACCAAAACCAACCAACCAACCAATCCAATGAAAAACTAATCTGAAAACCCTAATGTATTTCATCCTTACAGTCAGAGACCTCAACATGAATGGAGCATCCAGTATGGTTTTAATTATTAGACAATCTCATATCATATATAAAGTCTTTATTCCTTAGTAAGAACTTTTAAATCACAAAATAGTGTGGCAATATTTAGGTAATAGAATTTATGGAGTGCTGCAAATAACTTGAATATAAAGACAATTTCTAGCTTATCTTTTACATACTAAACTTCTCTAAACTGGCTGGTTTCTTGCAGACAGTATTTATTTGTTTAATAATTTAAGACTGCATAAGCTTGAAAGAAGCATAAGCATTGTAACCAAAGTGCAAACATTTCAGCAAATCTTCCCCCAAAGATATTTTAGCTCAAAATATCATTAGCATGTATTTTCTCCCTACAAAAATAGCATGTCAGACATCATTAACTGGATGTATTAACAACTACGTACATTCAGTTACCTTGGTAGGCTAAGAGTTTAATGTTGTTTAAACAAACAGTAGCAACAGTAGCAGCAAAGGAACCAGACTCAAAGACCCAGATATTTTTTGCACTTCAGACTGTTGTGTCTCACCCCTTACATAACATTCAAGTGAGATTTCTAAGTGCTACCTTGGCAACAAACTAAAAATATCTAGACAAGGTCTTGGTTTAAGCCTTATTTTTAAAAGCTTTCTTTGTGATTATCTGGTATCTAGTTTGGTCTCCAGAAAAACACATAGACTTGGAGATGGCAGGCCTGGGCTCTACATCGTCATAGCAATCCCAACCTCGGCTCACCAGCCTAACCTTTCCTCCACTTCTGCCATCTAGGAATGGAAGGGGTAAATCCGTTTGGCTTTCTTTACTTTTCTTTGTTAAATTTGGGAACACGATTGCTAAAATAACATATGTATTTGGGACACAAATCTATAACCTATGACATAGGCAAGCGAATCGGGGAATTGAAGTGGGCCTTAGGGGCTCATGGGACATATACACGTAAACTGACGAATTAAAGTTAGGCCAATGGGTTTACGGTCAATTTGCCAATAAAGTGCGGCAAAGGCGCCAAGGGCTCTAGCCTTCCATTCCCATCTCCCACCCTGCTGATTCAGTGCCTGAAGAGAGGCGCAACTCCCAGTCTACCTCAACAAGTGCAACTTAGAAAGATACTATGTCAACCTCTCCAGAGTACAGCAATGTGGGCACCAACAGCCTCACTTCTTTGAAACGCTCAACATTATAAAATACTGACAAGTCAATTTCGTTCTCAAGCTATCTGCAGTTCAAAAACAGCTCGGAGACAGGGCTCTGCTGTTCTGGTCCCCAGGGTCAAAGGCCCTCACGCCTGGGCACCCCACCCTGGTTCCACATGCTCTCCCACTGAGCACACCTTCCTCCTCCTAGAATCAGGCTCTACATTTTAAGAGGATGGAACATGGGCTTCTAAGAACTTGGGGGGGGGGTAAAGTAAAAATAACCAACGTTTATAGCAGAAGATCTTTGATAGCGCGCGGGGAGGGGGTAGTGGGCAGAGGGTGGAGAGAGGATGGGAAGTAAGCTAAACCGGAACTCCCAAATGTACACAAACACCTGCTTTTCTCCTAAGCCTGGGCGTCTCTTAGGCTTCCTCCCTTGCAAACGTTTGGGGCGTGTGAACTGAATACGGTCCTTCCTCCGGAGCCTCCGTCTCTTCCAAGGCTTGCTGGGGACTCAGGGGGCATCCTTGGCGGGCGGCGAGGACGCTTCCTGCGCGCTCTCGGGGCTCCCGGGGAAGGGCAGGTGGGCGCGGCCGTGCGGGTGCTGGGGATGCTGAGGATGCTGAGGATGCTGGGGGTGCTGGGGGTGCAACGCCCCGGGCGTCGCCGGCTCGCGCTGCAAGACGGGGGCGTGGGCCGCGGCGCCCGGCTTCTCCGGAGGGGGCGACAGCACGGACGACAGGCAGGGGAAGGCGGCGGCTGCGGCGGCGGCCGCGGCTGCCATGCCCGGGTAGAGCAGCGGGAACGGGGCGGCCGCAGGGTACAGGTACTTGTCCAGGCCGCTCTTGTCCAGGAACGGCTGCACGTAGGACGGCGAGAGGAAGTAGAAGGGCAGGCAGAAAGGCGCGGAGGGCTGCGCGAAGGGCGCGCCGCCGCCCAGCGCCACGAGCGAGCCGAGCAGCGCGGGCTCGGGCAGGAGCGCGCCGCGCGCCTCCAGCTTCATCCTCTTGGGCGCCGGCGGGTCGTCCCCCGGCGGCTCCTGCTTGATGGCGACGCGGCTGCCTGCGACCTGCTCGCGCTCGGCCTCGCCGCCGTAGCCGCTGTCGGTGTCCGTGTCGTGCTCCGCGAGCTCGGTGCTGGGCTGAGTCCGCTGGATGACCGGCACGCAGTGCGCCGCGGGCTCCAGCTTATGCGCCGCGCGCTCGGGACCCGGGTGGGTGGTGGCGGCCGAGCCCGCGGCGGCGGCGGAGGAGGAGGAGGATGCGCCCGGGGCTTTGGGCGCGGGGACCTGTGGCGCGAGCAGCGGCTGCGGGGTGGGCAGGAACTGGGTGGCCACGGTGTGCAAGTGGTTAATAAGCTGGGCGCAGCGCGGCTCCCTGGGTGTCCAGCTCTCGAAGCGGGAGAGGTATTGCAAGACTTCTTTGGCGCAGGTTTGAAATCCCGAGTGGAACGCATCCAAGTCGGCCTGAATGGGCGACTTCAGAGATCGCTCCCCTAGGATGTACCGGGCGGGGGGGAGGGGGGGCAGGAGAAAAATCCCGGCGTTAAGACATCTGCTCATCACGTGGGCCCTGCATTGACGGGGGGGGGGGTCTGGGCTTTTCTTTGGCATTGGAGTGATATAATCCGCAGATGGAGAACAAGAACTGAGAATGGGGGAGGGGATGGCAGGCGGAGGTGCCCCCCCCCCAGCTTGCAAAAACTGGAGAGGTGCAGCCGCCACATTAAGTGAAAATGGCCTTTCTCTGAGCTCTGCGGAGAGCCTCGAGGATGCTCAGGGAAATGGGCACTTTCCACTTAAAGGGAAAGTAAAGCAGTTTTCAGCAGAGAGGGCGGGATGGGGAGTCTTTACCCTCCTCCCTCCAGGATGAAACCCCGGTTTCATCCGGCTAGGCTAACTTACCATTCTGTAAAGCAATTATCCTCTGATGCTGCTGCTCGGTTAAGGCTGTTAAAGCTTTTAAGTGTTTCAAAGTTAATTCCAGGACTACGGCTTTCTCCAGGTGCCCCAATGTCTGAAGTGGTGCGAGAGAGAAGGGGGTAGTGGTTACTTCAGACACACGCATCCGCCTCGACTGGCTCTCCACTCAGCTGGGCAACTTGGGCAAACACTTGGAAGCCCCCCCCCCCAAATTGAGCGAGATTCCCACCTGATTATCAGTGACCTCCTTGCCTCTTGCTGGGGGGCCCTAGTCTGAGTCTCGGGGAGACTTTACATGACAGCACAAGTTGGAAGTGAGGCCCCAGTTTCCCTCTCTCTCCTGCCTCTGGGAGTTGTACCACACACCCCGAGAACGTCGAAGAAGGAAAACGTGCGTCTTACCGTCAATTTCAGATGTTCAGGCAGTAAATCTTTCAGCTGAGCGATACATTCATTAATTCGGTCCCTTCTCTTCTTTTCTATTAATCTGTGCGGCAATTTGTAGGTATCCTTCACCCATGAGCCGTGGAAAAGAGAAAGCAGGCTCAACGTTCACTCATTCACTGCCTGGATAGAACAGCCCTCCCACCTCCCCCCGAAAACACAGTGTAATGAACTATGCCCAGGAAACCCCTTTCCTCTAGACTTCTGGAATGCAATTTAAATTCAGGTAGAGTGTTTAATTACCCCCTCACCTCCCCCTAGTATCCAGCAAACCACTTAAAATTCGCTGTTAGGGAAGCTCGGGGCTGGAATATATTTGTGGGCAGAGCGTCAGAGCGCAATCAATGGCCCTAATTAACTCTCCAGGCAGGTTGCGGGACACTTACACTTACCTTGCTGTCGTCTCTCTTCATGGTCCTTTTGGGTTTACACATATACAAAGAAGAATAGTCCAGTCTGCAAAAACAGAAACCAGCATCAGGCCCCCGCTCCGGGAGGGGCTCTGCCCTCACCCGCTCCATGACACTTTATGGAGAAAAAAAAAATTTTTTTTAAGCCAAACCGAAGCCTAGACAGTCGCAAGGGTGCGTGCACCTTACCCTATAAAATCCCTATGTTCCAGCAACTGTCTCTCTTGCAAATGAGGAATTCCTTCGTCCATGTTCAACCGCTGTCCGTTTCGATTTGGGGAGTTCTGTCCTGTAATCTGCGGGACGCCCGTCTGGGGAGATCTGGGGGGGGCTGTGTGCGTCTCCAGTCTCTCTCGCTCTCTCTGGGGTGCAGTGTTTAAAGTGTGAAGCAGTTGGTTGCCCGCCGCCCCGCGCTCGCTCTGCTGCTTGCTCTCTCGCGCACACACTCGCGCGCGCACACACACACACACACGCGCGCACACACGCACTGCTCTGGTAGTTTGCTCTCACTCCGGGCAGTGTTTGGCCACAGGGCACGCGCGTCGCCGGCCAGACCAGCACCCAGCTCACGTGCGGAACGTACCATCCGCGGTCCGGCCAGGAGGGGGGCGGGGGAGGAGGGGCCGCGAGGGGGGCGGGGACACCTGAACAGCGCCGCCGGAAAGGAGCCGCGGCAGGAGCCAAGCTCTCCCTCCTCCGGGAGGCGCTGCAGCGCGCGGGGGCAGGGTGCGGGGCGGCCCGGGCACCCGGGACTCGGTCGTCCTTACAGTGCAGGACCGTGGACGTGGCTTTTTGCTTTTCCCACCGATCGCGCTGTTGGTTTGAGCCAGTGCAGGAAAGGAAATTCGTGGAGGGTAAACTTCAGTCGCGGGGGAGAATTTGGAGACTTGTTTGCTCACTGCTCCATGAGTGGCCTGGTGTGGACTCCGGGGCGGGGAGGAGGATGTGGGGGGGAACCACCCCTGAGGCTGCCCAGAAGAGGGGCATCTTGAAGTCCGCTCCCTAAAGTGGTTTAAGGTAAAGAAAATGCAGTCAGTGGTTCCAAGTCGCGTTCCAAGTGTCCCCGGGCCACCTAACTTCCCGCAGCAGCCGGAATTGCGGTGTCACTAATCACAGTGGCAGATGACGTTTGAGGCCTCTGGTGCTCTGGGAGGAGTGCGGTGGGGAGGGAGGAGGGGTGGCACGGAGCGGGTGGCACCGAGGGGCTGCCACGGGAAAGCCGCGCAGCCTGCATCCCAGCCCGTCGCCCCTCGGCGCCGAGGTGACGCTAGGCGGCCTCCCCGGTCGTGGTCCCACCCCTCCCCGTGCGATAAGCCACGCCGGGAGTGTGCCAGGCCCACGTTTACTACCGCTGGCACCTCCACAGCCTCCCTCCTTAATCCGGTCTCCAACGGGTACCAGCACAGGGCCAGCAACGTGATCCTCACGGCCGAGGCTGCCACATCACAGGCGGGGAAGCCGTGCGCGCGCGCGCCCTGCAGCCTAGCGCGGGCCAGTAGGGCCACCTACCCCAACGCCCCCCGGGCAGAGGGAGTCGCAGCCGGGGACAGCCGCTTGGAGGTGCCCGGGGATGCGCAAAGCGCAGCGGGGCAGCCAGGCCCCCTCCCCAAAGCAGGCTCGGGGCGGGGGCACGGGGGGTCAGGGATGGAGAGGGCAGATGCGGATCCTGTGCATGTAGACGTGTAAACCCCGGTTGCTCTGGCACAGAAAAGACAGTCACGTTCTCTCCGGAACATTCATGAACGTCGATGACACGTGAACCCTGTGTGGGGACTTGGACGCCAAACGGACGCGAACAGGCGCGCAGCAAGGCCCGGAGCGGTCGCTACGTGTCCCCGCCGCCCGCTCGGCCCCAGACGATCTGGGTCGCCGGCTGGGGGGGAGGTCACGTGGCCGCGGAGCCGCGTCTCCTCCCCGCCTGGCCGCGGCGGTGTCCCGAGTCCTGGGCGGAGACGCGCGCGGCCTCTGGCTGTGTGACTTCCACGGCGGGGCTCACCCGAGCGGGCGGAGCCGCCGGGGACCGGTTCCATGCTTGCACCCTTTAGGGCTTCTCCAGTAGGACGACACGTTTTACAACACAGGATTTTATGATGAGAACAGTTAAAAAGCGGTTTTTTTTTAAAAGCGGATTTTATTTTAAACCTCTCCTGTGTGTCTCCAAGTGGCTGGAGGGTTGATGCCCTCTGATGGAGAGGGAAGTTAGAACCCAAAGCAGCATAATCACGCAGGATAGTATCATCCTTCCTTTCTTCCTTCCCGGTAGACCAAAAAGTGGGGCTGAGGGATGCTGTTATGGCGAATAATTTTAAATTTAAAATAAGAGTTCCCTTTCCAGATTTCTGAAGTTTGGAGGAGGGAGGGAGGGAGGGAGAGAGAGAGAGAATATATATAGTACTTGGGATTACTACATACTCCAGAGCAATTTTCATTTGAGAAATGACTAAAGCTGGCGGCTGAACCCTGGTGACCTTGTTGGTAGAGCTGAGGAGTCGCAGGGGCCACATCTGGACCGAGAAACCTTGTGAGCAGTAGGGGACCGCTCTGAAGCAAGTTGAAACAGGAGGGAGGGGACAGAAGCCTTGAGGATCCAGGGGAAGGGACTAGGTGAGCTTGTGGGCTTGCCTTCAGCCCATTTCCTAACCCCCTTTCTCTCTCTCTCTCTCTCTCTCTCTCTCTCTCTCTCCCCATCATTCTGTTCCAAACTTCTTTAATTCTACAATCAGCCGTTTTTTCTTTTCCACTCTTGGCCCCAGCTCACCCTGTAAATTGGCTTTTTGCCCCCATTCCCTTTTGCAGCTTTTTGGTACGTTTTGTTTTGAGCCTAGGTCTCACCATGTATACCGAGCTGGCCTGGTTCTGGCTATGTGGACCAGGCTGGCCTGGAGCTCAAAGAGATCTGCCTGCCTCTGCATCCCTATTAAAGGTGTATGCCACCACACCTGGCTTTTGCCCGACCTCTGGTTTGTCTTTTTTATCCTCCGCTCTCCCTTTCTCTTTTCCTCGTGTTCCCTTTCCTGCTCACCGTTTTCTTCTTTTTAAATATATTATTTTTATTTTATGCGTATGACTGTATTGTCTTCATTTGTGGGAGTCCACACCCGTGTTAGGCAATGTCCATGCAGGCCAGAAGAGGGCGCTTGTGTTGCTGGGAACTGTAGTTAGGGATGGTTGCTAGCCACCCTGTGGGTGCTGGGAATCAAACCCCGTCCTTTGCAAGAACAGCCAATGCTCTTAACCACTGAGCATCTCTCCAGCCCGCTTTTCCTTCTATTAAAAACTTACTCTTTTTCTCTTTCCTTCCCTGCCCTGGTCCTCTCCCTGCTTTCCCCAGTAAGCGTCGAATTTTGCCTTTCCCCTGTATTTGTGTTCAGTTTCCTGCCTTTTTTCTTTTAGGCGTCCGCCCTGATGACACTACCTGCTTCTCCATCGCCTCTTCAGTCTGATTCCCTTTCTCTCTCAGACTCTTACCTGTGGGTGTCAGGCACTGCTTATGCCGCCAAGGTTATAACAATAACAACCATACAGCATTAGGGTTAGCATAGCAGGCCATTCTAAGGGCTTCTCCTGTATGAATTCATTCATGCATTAAGGTAGAGACTATCATTAGTGCCTCCATCCTGCAGATGAGAAAAATATATACCTAGTGAAGGTTGTGAAATGTGTCAAAGGTCCCACAGCCAGAATTTCAGCCAGATAAGCCTGCAGTCTGTGCCCTTTACCCCCTGGTGTCAAGAAAGGGGGAGGGGTGGTTCTGCAATTACCAGAATGCACACTGTTGTTGTATGTGCCAGAGTGTGGGAGGTACAGGCGGGATGGGGAAGGGAGAGAGAAAGGTGTGGGGGTGCTGGCAGGGATGAAAACCATGTGACGCAAGGGGGGGCAGTATTTGGGCATGCTGGTGACACGTGCAGTCTTAGAATGAAGACTTACAGTGTAATAGAAGTGTACTGGTGGAGTTCAGCTCTGAAAAGGCTGGTGGTGGTCAACTTTACCACCTTCTGTGAGTTGGGTTAGAAATGGGAAAAGATTACCCATGGTGAACCAAGAAAGGGGAAAAAATTCCCGCTAGACTGAGGAGTAGAACACAGACTTCCCTCTTTGGGTATGTTTAAAAACAGATTGTGTCTTATCTAATACCCTCCAAGAATATACAGAATGAGCTCTGAGCCCATTCGTGTTTATACTTCAGACATTTGGGCAGGAGTGGGAGCGTTGGACTTCCAATTAAAGATGTGTTTGCTCTTTACATAGACAGGAGGTGAGGGGAATTATTACCTTTGTGCTGTGTGTGTGTGTGTGTGTGTGTGTGTGTGTGTGTGTGTGTAATACAGAGGTCAGAGGTCGACAGGTATCTCCCTCTATCACACTCCACTTTATTTTTTGATAATACCTCACTTAACCCAGAGCTCACTATTTAGATGAGGCTGGCTGGTCAAGCTCTGGGAATCTGCTTGTCGTTGTACTCAGTGCTGGGGTAACAGGCCAGTGCTACCATACCTAGTGGACGATGGGGATCCAAACTCAGGCCCTCATGTTCAAGCAATTTATCAACTGAGCCATCACCCTAGTGTACTCTCTCTGTCTCTCACTCGCTCTCTCTTCCTCTCTTTCCTATAAAGAAATCCTGATCTATAGAGACTGTAGTGAAAGGAAGTGTTTGGCCCTCCATCCCAGTGTTCTAGGTCCTACATCACAGCATTCCTCTTGAAGCTCTTATCCTGCTGGCTTGTACATCCTGGTTACTTACAGAAGTAGAATTCTCCCTAGAGGATTAATTTTCCACTGGGAAGAGAAGGTTCCTGCTTTTCGGGGCACTTCAGGATCCACTGCTCCTTAAGGGAGGCGACTTGTGGCTTTCTGGACCCCAGATCTTATACAAATCAAGTGTGCCTCTCTAATGGCTTAGAGGAGGGGTTTCTGCCCAAGGTGTGGGGCCTCCCACCTGTGAAACTATAAAAGAAGTTTATTAGACGGGCAGATGATGTTTTCTTTGAGGTACTGGGGATGGAACCAAGGGTCTCATGACTGATAGGCAAGCACTCCACCACTGAGCTACACCTCTAGCCTTGGTTGTGTCTCTTCTGTTTTGGACAATAAGAATTTACTGCTATTTGGCAACTCTGATAGTGCATGCCTTTAATCCCAGCGCTTGGAAAGCAGAAGCAGGCAGATCGCTGCAAGATGGAGGCCAGCTTGGTCTCCATAGTGAGTTCCAGGCCAGCTGTAGCTCCAGGGAGACCCTGTCTCAAAAAAGAAAAGAGAATTTACCAATATTCTACATGACTATGTCAAAAGGCATACAGCATATAGCTTTATGAAGCAGAGTCCATACGAGGCTAAAAATGTCTTGGCATTTGTGTGTGTATGTGTGTGTGAATTCCTTCTCACTAGAAGGAGAAGGGTTCATGTTCACAGGCATACTACAGCAAGGTGCCTCCAAGGCTCTTAGGAGGGAAGGAAACCCTCACTGCTCCTCTCAGAGGCCAAATATGACTTTAAAATATTGATGATGTTATTTGCTGAAGGTACCAGATTTCAGTCCCGAGAACAGAAGGCTGGGTTCCCCAGCTGCTCACTCAGCATCACCCCAGCAGCAGCACTGTCTCCTTTTAATTTGTAGGAGAACCCAAGTCTTTCTGCAGACTTCCAATTAATATGTCTTTGTGGCTGTAAACATCTAATGAATCACCTTTTATATTTATGTAACCATGCAGGATGTTTATTCATTAGTCTATGTATCACTAAAAGACAATTATAGAATACATATTTAACAGTGTAGTTATATGTTCTATATTATATAACTATAGTTAATAAATTATTAATAAAAAATCTTAGACATAAAATCTTATATCTTCGTATTTCATTTCTGGGACAGGAACTTGCTACAGAGCCCTGGATGGTCTTGACCACATGCAACTCTGCCTCAACCGCCCAAATGTTAGGATTATGTGTTCCTCCTCTCCCAGCTAGGGACAGTATAGGAAGCAAACCTTTCTATAATCATTCGTATTTATCTGATTATCACAAGTACTCAGATGATCTGAATTTTAGTATGTTCTTAAAGTTCCTGGAGTTCTTACGATTAATACAGAGGCATACCTAAGGTCATGATGGGTGTTGGGGTCCTGTAGTCCCTAATCTGCCTGGTCACTCTTACTTTCTGTGCTTCCTACATGGATTGTGGCTGATTCACAATGAGATCTAAAAATAGCAGAGGCAGGATGACGCTCTGCAGGGCTCTGCACAGAATGACTGCAGCCTTTCTCTGGGTTCTGCTTGCCTGGCTGGACAGGGGAACCCAGAAGGACTAGCCGGTGTTCCCCTGCTGTTGGGAAAAGGGCTTCAGAGAGAAACACATTACTCGGGTGAAACACACTCAGTTGGGAATAAAATACTCTGAACAGCCCCTCACCTCCCCACTCTGGGCTTTCCCAGGTCCTTGAGTTAATTATCAGGCGAATCCAGGGAATGTAGAGGCGTCTGTCACAGAGCATGTTGCTTTAAAAAAAAAAAAAAAAAAAAAAAAAAAAGCTAGAGAGTCTATAAAAGGAGGGTTTAGATTTAGAACTAGTGATTCAAGTTTTACTCAGTAGTTGACACATTGTTTTGCTTTGTTTTGTCACTCTGTAGATCAGGCTGGCCTGGAACTCACTGGGTAGCCCAAGCTGGCCTGGAACCCACTGGGTAGCCCAGGCTAGCAGCCATCCTGCTGCTCCAATCTGCCAGCAATCCTCCTGCCTCATACTTCCAAGTGCCAGGATTACAAATGGGTTTTACCAGTTAGTGCTTAGTGCAAGAATCTGTGTATAGTAATTGCCAAAAAGGTTTGGTTCTGACACTAACTTATAATTTCCACTCATAATAAACTGATGGAAATCTAGACCATATCTATTATTGTTAGTTAAGAACTATGTTTGAGAGCCGGGTATGGTGGCACACTCCTTTAATCCCAGCACTCGGGAGGCAGAGGCAGGTAGATCTCTGTGAGTTCAAGGCTAGCCTGGTCTACATAGTGAGTTCCAGGACAGCTGGGGCTACAGGGAGACCCTGTCTCAAAAAGAAAAAAAAAAAAAAAAAGAATTATAT